TTCACCGTGTTAGCCAGGATGGTCTCGATCTCCTGACCACATGATCCGCCCACCTCAGCCTCCCAAAGTGCTGGGATTAGCTGTGAGCCACCGCACTTGGCCATTCAATTTTTAAAATACTGTTTGAAAATTGAGTTGAAGCTGTTATACAGACAATAAGACTGTGTGGCCAATGCACTTTATATTGATTGAGGTGAAGGATATAGGACTGGAATAAATGGTACAAAATTTGGACTAAGAACCAGTTACAGGACAAATAACATATTAGCACAGATTTGATATGAGATTTACCTAGATGATACCAAGAGGGCTTCTAGGAAATTTTCATCCTTTCATACAAAAATTAAATTGATGGGTTCAGAATTTCAAATAAGTTTTCGCTACTTACTTGAAAATAAGAAAGGGAGCGCTATTTGTCTAGAAAGTTGGTTATATTACATGATAAGGCATTTAAAAACATTTCGTGGTAGCTTATACAGATATATCATGAACATAAATCAAAGATTTTACTTGATTAATAAGAGAAACAATAAGATGTTACAACCGATTCAAAGGCAAATTTAAAGTCATATATAGGTAGAACTGGTCGATTCACAGAACAATAGTCCATAGCATTCTCACTGGACACAATTACTTTGCATTTTTCTGAAAGAAAGTCAACTGCATTTATGCCATATTTTTAAAATTTTACAAAGTTGTAAAATAGCTCAAAGACGATGAAAGGCAGAGAAATCTTGGAAGCCTCCGCTAGTCACGTGATTTAGTAATATTTACAGCTCATTTCAGTCTTTCACAACTTTCTCCTGCATTCACTATCACACTCCATTCTCTTTCCACACCAAAATAAGAGGAATCATTTAACCCTATCTAAGATCTCATAAAATACTAATATAACTTAAGATCCCCTCCAAAAACTACCTTGTGGTCAGCACAGTAGGAAAGGCCCCTTGATGGGGAAGAGGAAACTTCCCAACACTCGCACAGGAAAGGGAGGAACGGACCATTTCATCGTGAGGTTTGGAGCTTTGGAAAGGCTATGCACGTGTTATGTAAGTATGGTATAGGCAATCCATTTCATGAGGAATCAAGAATGAGGCATCACGATTAATTTTTTCTTGCCATCTTAATATTTTTGTTTTACTGTAATTAAATAACTCAACATATAGTCTGATCCAGAGAGAAGCCACCCTTCCTTTGGGCTTAATCTCAAAACACAGACGTATATATTTCAATTAACAGATGACATTTGAATCTCTGAGGGAATTTTGTTTTAACCAAAAATCTCTGAAAAATTAAGTAAAATGGACAATTCCTACAATCGCTCCACAATCACTAAACCAACATGTATGTTAAAAGATGTGATAGAGTTAATGTGTATTATACATCCACTTAAATACTGTTGCAGCAAAGGAGACAGAGAGAAGGAGGAAGAGAGAAGGTAACAAGGAAAGAAGGATGGAAGAGAGGGCATGAGGACAGTTATTTGGAAATGGCACAGAGGCATTTACAGAGATCATTATATCCTTGGGTCCTTTACCTTCCTCAGCCCTACGCAGAGTATATAACTTCTTCGTTTTAAACTTTTAACCAGGAGAAAGCTAAATGCTAATCTTGGAACTTAAGAAAGCAACTTCTCTGGGCTTTTTAATATTAGATTATATTTCATGTTGAACTTTTCTCTAGCTCAGAAATCATTTGTCTATTACACAGCAACCATTTTAAAACTTTCTGTTTTTGAAAAAGTATCCACTGACTTCTTCATATTTTCTCATGCAGTAGTTTTTCTTGAATTTTGTTTTACATAAAAATTACTAGGAAAGTTTGTTGAATTTTCAGATTTCCAGGCCTCCCATCATCAGTAAATCTGGATCACCCTCAGAATACCCATCTTTGTCAAGCATCTTTGGTGATAATGCTGTGTGCCTCTTTAGAACTACGAGACTATTGAGAAGGAAATATGTGAAAAATAAGCTTGCCCATATACAACAATAACATGGGAAAGGAACAATGTAAATTTCACACTGCCTACGTGTGTGTGTGTGTGTGTGTGTGTGTGTGTAGGTGTTTTAAATATAAAACACTTAAAACCATTTCCTGGATTATTTTCAACTGTTAGACCTAGTAGTGAAGCTGTACCAAGCTACAATATCTGATGCTATCTATCTGTCTTTTGTCTCTTATGATAATTATTTAATTATCTATTCACTTGGGTAACGGGACTTTTTCCCCTAAATAATGCTGTTATTTTCTTTATGTTAGGCTTTACGAGTGTAAGCAAAATTGCATTTTTAAAACTTTTTTAGAATAGTATAAACATTAAGTTAAAATCAATAGAAAAATGTTATTTTTAAAATTGTTCTGAAAATAATTTTTAACCAGATAATTTAATGTCGACTTTCATGTTTTATCTGACGCTATTTAAATTTGTCATTTACCATATTCTTAAAGTCCTTTAGTTTGCCATGCAAAAAAAGTATAGCCAGGCAGCTAGAAAATGGAAAAGTCACTCACTGAAATTATATTTATAGGCATAGCAACAGAACTATTACAGAGTAATTCCACAGTGATTTTTAGTCATACTGATGAGCTATAATCTGTCTATAAAGTAGTAGAGGCTATAGTTTATTGGTGTGAAGCAAAGTTAAATTTAGATGTGGTCTGTAAGAAGTTATTTCTATTCATTTTCAATCTAGAGTTCCAATCAAAGCTGCCTAATCTTTGTACTACAGGAAAGCTACTTAAATAAGTTCTACCATCTCTAAAAGGAAGTGAAATTATTCAACTTCCCTATCAAACTTTCCTTTGGAACAAGGAATTAGGCAAGAATACATTGTAGGTATGATTGTGTGAAGTTTCATGCTAGACGCTTACCTGGCCAGAGAGTTAGACTGTACAACTCTGTAACAGATGGTCTAATTTAAACTATGTATATATTTTATTTTTCCATGTTGAGTATTTCTATGACATCCTATTTATCAGGTTATAAAATTTTCCATGACAACTTTTATTATTATAAATAATGAAATTATTTATTTATACTGAATGAATCTTTGATATATTGAGAATAATGCCAATGGGCCTATGATGTTTCCCAAGTCCTTCAATAAACATCTAAACCATATAATTGCAGGCATCACATAGGAAGACAGAAATTGTTTCAATTTGCTAAACATCTTTCAAAAGATTTTATTCAAAACACTGCTTATTACTAGAAAGTATGTCTCCGTGTGTGTGTGTGTGTGTGTG